TGAATTATTTGTCATAAAAATGTATAAAATATATAATATAAGAAATTTGAAAATTTTTAGTATCAAGCGAAAATGTGGTTAGTGTGGACTACACAGATGCCGATAATGAATCTGATGAAGAAACATCAGCACCTGCCCCATCTGTTAATGGTTCAAAAGCTGGTAATCGTCAAAACAAACACAAAAAGAAAAAAGAGAAAAGGAAAAGGGCCAAAAATAAGAAGAAAATGGAACAAGAACAAGTAAAAGAAAAACAAAAAGAAGAGAAAGATACAAATAAAAGTGATACAAAGGATAAAAAGTCAGATGAACCTGAACCAGAAATTGAGTAAGTGCTAAATATCTATGTACCATCAAAATATAATATTTTAATAGTTAAATAATATACAAATCTTGTGTAAATTGTGATACTTAACAAATAAATAAATTTGCAATATGTAAAGGCATCCATATAATTTTTCCTGTAAATAATAAACTAAACTTTAAAATCATCTTTTTGCAGATATGTTCAGGAAATGATAAACATTACCGAATTAGCACCAATGCATAGGCAGTTTTTCAAAATTTTTGTTGCTTTTAAAATAGCAGAAAAACATGCCGAAGCTCTTAAAGCCAGTGAACAAAATTTGAAGCTGGAAGCCGAAAAGAAAAGAGATATGAAAACGAAAGATAACTTTGTTGATGAAGATGATATGGATGAGGTATTATATAAATACAATTTCTTTTTAATGAATTTATCTATGCACTTTACTCATGATAAAATACAGATTTTTGATGTTTTATGTTTTATCATCAGGCACCCATTGAGGATAAAGAGAAACTATCTAAACGAAAGTTGAAAAAATTAACCAGGTTATCAGTTGCTGAATTAAAACAGCTTGTTTCAAGACCTGATGTTGTCGAAATGCATGATGTAACAGCCCGGGATCCTAAATTGCTGGTGCAATTGAAAGCACATAGGAATACAGTTCAAGTACCAAGGCATTGGTGTTTTAAAAGAAAGGTTATTTAAATTTTATAAGGTTTATTATATTATATTATTTATTTATTATATAGTATTGGTTTTCAATTTATTTCAGTATCTACAAGGTAAGAGAGGAATTGAAAAGCCTGCTTTTGATTTACCAGCATTTATAAAGCGCACTGGTATTATGGAAATGAGAGCATCCCTACAAGATAAGGATGAATCCAGGTCACTGAAGTCTAAAATGCGAGAACGGGCCAGACCAAAAATGGGGAGGATTGATATTGATTACCAGAAACTACATGATGCTTTCTTTAAGTATGGACAATAAAATTACCTACATTTACATTATTACTAATTATATACATTTAACAAATTTTGTACATATTTTTAGATGGCAAACCAAACCACGAATGACTATTCATGGTGATTTATATTATGAAGGAAAGGAATATGAAACAAGATTAAAAGAAAAGAAACCTGGTGATTTGTCAGAAGAACTAAAAACAGCTTTGGGAATGCCTATTGGACCTGGCAGTAATAAAGTAAGCTAACAACCCTTCCACTCTACTTAATTTTCAAACTTCAGGAAGTTTTCTACATATCAATTGATCATATAATTTTCATATTTAATTATTTAGATTCCTCCACCATGGTTAATCGCTCAGCAACGTTACGGTCCTCCCCCGAGTTATCCCAGTTTGAAAATACCAGGTTTGAATGCACCAATTCCAGATGGCTGTGCTTTCGGTTACCACACTGGAGGTTGGGGTAAGCCACCTGTTGATGAAAAAGGAAGACCGTTATATGGTGATGTCTTTGGAGTGGTTCAAGAAATCGATGAGGTAATAAAAATATATTTGCTAATATTTGAGTAATTTTTAATTAATATAATTTTCTTTTTGTTTTAATGATTTATAGAATATTGATGAATCCACAATTGATAAAACCGCCTGGGGAGAAATGGAATCAGAATCTGAAGAATCTTCTACTGAAGAGGAGGAAGAAGAAGAGGCACCGGAGAAGCCAGATGAGACTGGCTTAATAACACCGGCGGAAGGTAAACATTAATGAATTTTTCATATATTGAATTAGCATTATTCAATTCTCAAAAATTTGTTATGCGACTTGTTTTGAATTCATTTTTTTTATATTACAATTCTATGTGAATAATTTTTTTTTCTTCTTGAGCTTCTTCTTCATACACTTTAAATTTCTATCAACAAATCTTTTTTTTTTATTTTAGGATTAGTAACACCTTCAGGATTTAGTTCAATTCCTGCTGGAATGGAGACTCCAGAGACAATAGAACTTCGTAAGAAGAAGATTGAAAATGATATGGATGGGTAAGTTGTAAAATTAGTCAAATGTTTATTAAACTTTTAACTTCCCAATGAAAAACCGATATGCTAGTCTAAAGATTTTTCTAAGTTTCTATTAATTCTGAATCGAATGAAACCAAATTGGGAAAAAGTATGTGGGTTTTGACTTACAAAAATGTAAAAGCGATTCGATCAATTAATTAATTGCGATTTTATTCTAATTTTTAGCGAAGAGACACCAGTACTATATCAAGTTCTACCAGAACGCAGGACTGATCGCATCGGTTCAGCAATGATGGGATCTACTCACGTATATGACATGACAGGAGCTGGAGGTGCTCAACCACCCAGCGTTATTGGTAAGTGCAGTAGTTTATACAACTTCAGTCATACCATTACATTTTTTAAATAATTCCTTTTTTTCTGTAGCTTCAAAACGTGGTGGAATTCAAAACGTTTCTGAGAAAGAAGGTGCCATAGAATTAGCATTGGATCCATCTGAGTTAGACATGGATAACGATGCCATGGCCATGCGCTATGAGCAACAATTGAAGGAACAACAAAGCCATCTGCAGAAGGAAGATTTATCAGATATGTTGGCTGAACATGTCGCCAAACAGAAAACTAAAAGGAAACGCCAACAGACACAGGATGGTAAACAAGCTAAAAAGTATAAGGAGTTCAAATTTTAAACTGGACTTACACGTAGGTGTATTATGTTCTCTTCTAAATTATTTATGAAAATAATTTAATCCGTATTGTTTTATAATGTTTCTTTTTGGCACCGTTTTTTAAAGATTATGTAATATAGATTTAAACAGAGAATTAGCCTCTTTTTGTTTTTTTAAGATAGCCAGAAGGCATTGAGGTAAAAACTTTATATTTTAAATACTGATCATAATATGTGTATGTATTTCTATGAAAGTAATTTTGTGAATGCGCAGTTTAAATTGTAAATGCAATTGTTAAGACAATAAATTTATACCAAAAATAGTAATCCCGAAAAATCGAAAATGAAACTTGTTATATATCTTTACGTTTCAAAGGTTTCTCAACATTTTGGTATATCTTATAAATAATGTATATTTGTTTGTATGCGGATACAAATTTTCGTCGGCGATTTCGGAAACACGGATTTGAGTAATACAAAAAACATTCGATTCGTATTGATGGGGAGACGTGCTAGTTTAGTTTTTGGCAAAGGCAAAACCATAGGTGCCAAAAATGGTAATTTGAACGTCCGATTTCAATGATTATTTTATTTGTATTGGCGAAATGACTGATACAATTTTCGGAAAGACAGGTCCCGGGATTTTGTAGTTCATTTAAGAAAGTTTAATTTATGGTACGGAAATTTGCCTTAAGGCACAATAACATGCACCACTAGTTTTGTTTGTAGCACTTTAGGCGGTTGTGTTAAACATATGTACTTCTCTACAGTAAAACAATTTTTATATATAAAACTTGATAACCAGTTTTTATTTAAATTAAATAATTTACATTGAATAAAAAAGGTAAATTCATTATAAAATACACGGTATCTTATGAAATAAATAATTATTGGTAAATTTATAATAAAATATACGTTATCTTAAAAAACATCAGAATATCGTAAAGTTGATGAAAACTGGTTGAAAGTGGCATTTAACCTTAAGGCAAGTTGCATGACTTCCCGAAATGTGTAAGAATTGATTTAATCAATTGAATTTAAAATTTAGATATTTAGATAAAATTTTCAACTGTTTATTTCTCAAATAAAGTCATCGCTTTCAATTGAATCTAAACATTGCCATTTCGAATAGAATTTTCTCAAACATATTTAAATTAATTGTAATTATATTAATTATTTTGACACTAATTTTGACTATAATATTTTCTCAAACTTTGATGAATTTTTAACATTAAACTACTTGTCGTAATGCCGTAAAATTTCAGTAAGTTCTATATATATATATTGGCAATATATATATTGCCAAAAAAAGTTTCGTGAAAATCGGCTTAAATTTTTTATAAACAGTTAATTATAAAAAACGGCTCGGTAGATTTTCGCCTAAAACTATTCAGTATCATTCCCAACTAATATCCTTCGAACAGTTTTTGATTTTTTAAAATCGATTCAGAATTGCGGACCAAAACTTTGACGATTTTTTTTCACTTTTTTGCGATTTACAAAGAAACGGCTCGGGCGATCGTGGCACAAAACTGACAAACGATAGAGATTGAGATACATCAAATGGCTTTTAAAATTTTGAAATCGGTCAAGCCGTTTTTGAGGAAACGTCGATTTATGGCAAAAAAAAAACTGTTCACATACACACAAACACACATACTTTTTCCAAATTTGGCTTCATTTCATTCAGAATGTCTTGAAACGTCGAGAAAACATAAAATTAGCGAATCGGATTTTTTGATGAAAACATAAACTTCTCCTTCAGGAAGTTAATTATAATAAAATATACAGTATCCTGAAAAACATAAGTATATCATACAATTGATAAAAAAAAATCATTTTATTGAATTGATTTTACAAGTAAATAACATACAAAAAATTGAGCCATATTTATATTACAAACATAATATACTTCTTATATTCTTCCAATTTTAAGATTAAATTATTACTATCATCCACCATAAAATTTAATTGGATGTAATATTTTCATAAGGATAAAAAAAACTTATATATCTAGTTCATATTAAATTATTCTGTGATGCATTCATAATCGATATGCTGTTTTGTATGCCCTGCCTTTTGGTATTTGACCTTTATTTCGAAGTCTTCTAACTGCTTCGCGCAAAAAGCGAGGTTGGAGTGGTCCCGTTTCACCCATCTCTTCCATTACATCGAGGGCTAGAAATAAAAAAGAATTCCAAATAAATTTTCTATCAAACCCATCAATAATAAAATAGAATATCATTTGATCATGATTTAATCTTTACCCACCTTCT